GGCCCCAGGGACTTGACACCGCCTTCTCGGGCAGCTGCCCCCGCCCACTCTATCCTTCAAGGTCATTCTTCCTCTAAGACCCCACTTCCCGTGTATGCAAGTGCACAGGCCCTCCTTTGCTATAGAAATTTGACTGTCCGTCCCTGTAAGACTGGGAACTCACAGAATAGCAGATCGGGGCATGTTAAGGAATTTGCAGAGTTTTTACGGTCGTGTCATGGTCCCTGCTCGTGCTCTTGACTGTAGGGCAAGAGCCTGAGTGCAAGTGCTCCATGGACCTGGCCCTGCGCACACAGCACTCACTAGGCTCTTCCCCGTCTCTGTGATTTGGAGAGGCCAGCTTAGATGCTGCCCTTGCTTCGACTCCGGGCCTGGCCACGTGTTCCCAGGGCCCCCTCTACCCTGGGCTTTCCGCATGTCGGTTTGGGACTGCGAGGGGCCAGTCTGCACCAATACAGCCAAGTAGCTCCTGGGCCATCCGGGACTGGGCGTAAATTGTATTTTGCAGCTCTACAAAGGAAATATAATTAGCTGATCAAGTACGGGTAGGAGTGCAGGGCTGGGGCCTGAGAATTTGCCTAACACAAAAGGCTTAGTCTAATTTGACACGAAGGGCTGGAAACTGCCTTCCCCGAAGACAGAGAAGTAGAGGGTGGAAAAGGGGCCCACACGGTCCCCAGGGCTCCAGGAAGAAGGGTCTCAGGGAGCTCAGAGCTCCCCGTCTGCAGTCACATGAGCATCATGTCACTCCCAGGCGGTGACTAAGTGGAGGCAGAGGCGAACATTCTAGATCCCTGGAGGTTGTCGGAGTTGGCCTTGGCAGCAACGGCGGTCTGTCACGAGCAGACTCTTTTGTAAACGCCTGAAGAATTTTCATAATAATCCAAGGGGACCCTCTGATAAAGCCCTTTCTTTCCCTCTGTGTTTTTCAGTGGCGCCTGTCTCCAAAGTCTTTAAGTGTCATTTCACTGGTGGGGTGAGCAAAACAAAAGCAGATTAAGCTAGGTTTTAAAGCGCAGCTGTACAAAGGTACAGAAACAGAGGCCCGGAAATGAGCTCCAGTAATGGTGTTGGCACCCTCCCCACCCCGCCACCCTCGGACAGGAGGCCCGGCTGGCTGCCACCACTTGCCTGAGTCCCCTGGAGTGCGTGTGGCCTTGTGCCAGGAGTGTGCCAGCCATTGGCGGCCTCACCCCTGCAGCAGCATGGGCGTGAGGTCAACTGCTTGCTCTCTGTCTCCCTGAGAGCCACAGCTGAGACCTGGTGTTTATGGTGCTCCACCCACACTTCGGTGGGGTCAGAGTCCCCTGTGACTATCTCCAAGTAGAGGTCACTGGTGACCCCCTCTGGTGAGGGCCCGTCCCAGGCTCCCATCTTCTAGAATCCAGTGGTGAGCGGTCCGTACGCGGACGGCCTGAGAGCTTCTCCCAGATACACATACAGCAGCCAGACCCAGGTCAGGTGGTGGTTTCCCCCTGCCAGCTGGCCAGGCGGGGTAAAGACAGAGAGGGAAGACCGTGCTTGGGCAGGTGGATCCTAACTCCAAGGCATCTGCTCTTTCCTCCCGAGTAGTAAAAGCTGTACCATCGGGATGGTTCTCCGGCTGTGGAGCGACACGAAAATCCACCTCGACGGAGATGGGTAAGGAGATCTCTTTAATTCTTCCACTGTGGACTTTGAAACACCAAGCTACTTTGGGCATTGTTGGGTAATCATCCACAGGGTCACATGTGTGATGTGCTCATTACATCGGGAGAAGCAGCATGCCCCTTAGTGAGCCACACAAGGAAGGGGACGTTTTGGCGTTGCATAAGGGCATTTGGGTCACAAAGTAGCAACGGAAGGGTATTTACAGGAGGTCCGCTGCGTGTGAAGTTCAAGAGCAGCAGGCAGCTGATATTCATACGTTTACCTTGATGTGTTAGATGAATACTCAGTACGTGCCCTCCAGGTGGAGCTGGTCTCTGTAAGTTTGTAGTTGGAAAGGACACGGCAGGAGCCCCATGGTCTGTGGGGGTGCCGGGAAAGACAGACAGCTGGCAGGCGGAGCAGCATCTCAGGTGCCTCTCTGGGGGGCTGCAGAGGAAGAACCCTTCCGTTTGGCCTGGGCAGGTAAACAAGAGACTAAGAGCCATCCGGGTCCCACATACATTTGCTTCCAAGGGAAATACGCGGGTTCTGCCATGAGTGGAAAGGAGCGGAGTAGAAGTTTATCCCTCCACTGAGATTCCAACGGTAAAAGTTACCTTGCCTCATAGTTAGCATTCGGGGAGAAAAAGTAAAATGTGACTTTTTGGGGGGGGGCGGGGGAAAAGGTAGGATTATGGTTCTACTTTTTTTCCTTCTTAACCTTTTGCCTTCCATGAATACATTTCCCATGCAATTGCAAAAGTAACGGATGGCACACGTGGGGCAGGAAGTAGCCGCGGTGGGCTGCTGGGACGGTGGCAGGAACGTGAACGAGATGGCGTCAGATGGCATCGTTGCCCTTGCCAGGGTTTGTGTTTTTGACAGACCTCACATAGCTGGGTTGGAAGCAAACGTTCGTTTTGTTTTTCTTTTTCTTTTTCTTTGTTCCTACCGTTGCCCTTATTGGATGCAGTGGGCTGGTAGTCCCTTATCAGGAAGCACAAGACGCACTTGTCCTCAGGGTGTCCATTCGAGCCACCGTCTCGCTGTGGGTACAGGGTCCGGTATCTCACCACGGTTCCGTTCTTTTCTGTTTGTCTTTCTCAGCGGGTTCAGCGTCAGCACAGCGGGACGGATGCACGTCTTCAAGCCTGTGTCTGTCCAGGCCATGTGGTAAGTGTGGTTTTAGAGAATTACATCGCCTTTGAAATTTTTTTTTTTTTTTTTTTTTTAGCTGCCAGCATGAATCGAAAGACCCCCTTCGATTTTAAGGCTCATTTAGGTGTGTGCGTGCGTGTGCGTGCGTGTGTGTGTGTGTGTGGCACAAAATGTGCATAACATAAAATGCATCATTTTAAGCATGCAATTCAATGTACATCCATGATGTGCAAACATAACCATCCATTTCTGGAGCTTTTCCTTCATCCCAAACAGAAAGTCTGTGCCCATTAAACACTCATGCCCTCTCTCCCCAGGCCCTGGTACCCTCTCTTCTACATTCTGTCTCTCTGACTCTGCCTATCCCAGGTCCCTCCTACAAGTGGAATCATACACTCTTTGTCCTTTTGTGTCTGGTTTATTTCACTTAAAATGTTGACGAGGTTCGTCCATACTGTAGCAAAAAAAAAAATTTTTTTTTAAGGTCATTTATTTTAAGAGAGCAGGCACGCGAGCAGGGAGGGCCAGAGAGAGAGGGAATCCTGAGCAGGCTCTGCGATGTCACCTCAGATCCCAACATCGGGGCTCGAACCCACGAACAGTGAGATGATGACCTGAGCTGAAATCAAGAGTCAGATGCTCAACCAACTGAGCCACCCAGGTGCCCCCGTGTCCGAATCCTTTTTAAGGCTGAATATTATTCCCGTCTGTGGTTAGACACTATTTTTCTGTTTATCCTTTCATCTATTGATGGGCATTTGGGTTTTTTCCACCTTTTGGCTACTGGCGAAGTATCTGTTTGAGTCCCTGCTTTCAGTTCTTTTGAGTATGTACCTAGAAGTGGGATTTCTAGATCACGTTAATGCTGTGTTTAACTTTTTGAGGAACCAAAACCGTTTCCCACAGCGACTGCACCATTTTGCATCCCCCCTGAGCCGTGCACGAGGGTCCCAGTTCCTCCACGTCCTCTCCAGTGCCCCGTTATTTTATTTTATTTTATTTTTTCATGATGGCCCGCTCAAGGGGTGTGAAGTGGTATCTCATTATGGCTCTGATTTATATTTGCCTAATTAATTACTACTGAGCATCTTTTCGTAGGCTTATTGGCCATTTGGGCATTCTTTGGAGAAATGTCTATTCAGGCCCTTTAGCCGGTTAGGAATGGGGTTGTCTTTTTGCCGTTCCGGCTGTCCAAATGTCATTCCAGCACAGATTAGCTTGTCCTTCGGGCCTGGCACACACTCGGTTTGTGCCATCCAGGGAACGGCACTCTGCCAGGCAGCGGGCATCTGGGAGGGCATAAAACAGAACATAATTCCTGTCCTCGTGGGGTTTAAAGTCTATTGAGGGAGGTGGCCGTAGCACAGACAGAGTCCCATGTTGTGCCAGGGAGTCCTGGGAGCGTGTTCTCACAGGGGCCTTTTCTGCCCTGGGACGCAGGGTGCAGGGCCTCGCGCACGCTTAGCCTGGAGGATGACGTAGCCGTGGGTAAAGTCTGCACCGGGTGAAACGGGTCGTGTCCAGCGCTTCTCCCAGCCCAGCGCAGGCATCTGAGAGCCCTCCTCATCGGGTGTGGGGGTGGGGGTTGTTGCACAAACCACTTGTGCAGCAGACTCAACACAACAGTGCCTCTCTCCAGTAATCTGGAAAAGACTCAGGAAAAAGCCGGTGGGGCCTGAGGAGAAGGGTTCTGCCCCAGTGTTTCAGGGTCATTACTTTTTTCCTCTGGGCCAGCAAGAGTTACCCAGAATTCTCCCATGGGCCACAAATCGATATGGTGCTTCATTTTTACCTCGTCCCTTACTCTACACCACCCCCGATTCAGGATCATTCTGGGGAAAATCACAAAATCCTAATTCTCTCCATGTCCTGGATGTTCCTGGTGCCCCCGGATCGTTTCTTGTCTCTTTCTCTACAGGCAAGTACAAAATAGGCCCCCATGTTTTTCCAGAACTTAAGGAGCAAAACTAAATGTAGCAAATGTGCGGCTCCAGCCCGTCTCCTCAGGCAGCCTGGAGACGGGACGGGCGTGTCTGGGAAGCGTGCCCCAGAAGGCGGTGGCTTCTGTGCCGTCTCCGAGGACTCTCGCTCCCCTCCGGGGCTTCCCGCTTCCACTCTTCGTCAATGCCCAACTCACCCCATCCACTGAGAAAGTTTCAGCCTCGATTTTCGTAAAAAGAGTTTTAGAAAAGGGACCAAGCTGACCGTTATTGTGTACGTTTTCCGTGTTGTTCCTTCCACCCCACTCCTTCCCGAACTCCATCTTCATTTCGTTCCTGTATTAACCTGAGTTTCCAGAACCTCATTCCCCCGAGAGACCTAAGCCTTGAAGCGATTATACACTGATGGGAAAGGGTTCCAGAGTACGTCTTTCAGAACGCGGTAAAAGGTCTCCGCTGTTAGTTAAAGACTCCTTCCTGCTCAGAGCCTCCTAGGCTTCGATGTGGCTCCTAAATTCAGGGTATCCCCACAGCCTCAGAAATAAATCTTCATTCTTGGGAGTTATGGAGTGTGAAGGGCTCTGTGAGCCAGCCTGGGCGGGCGATAACAACATCTGTACTGTTGCCTTGCTGGGCACGATAAAGGATGTCCCATCCACTCTTGGGTTCAAAGCTTGTGTCACGGAGACTGGGCGTGTTAATCTGGAGGTTCCGGGCTGTCTTGTGTCCCCCCGAGAACCCGGTACACAGCAGGGTTGACTCCGGTAGGAAGTTTTTTAGGGATCGGCCCCTATCTCTGCCCCCAGTCAAGGGGAAGGCCCAGCACTCCTGTGCCTCCCCCGGGCCTGACCCCGTCCCCCCTCCTCACCCCAGGTCTGCCCTGCAGGTCCTTCACAAGGCCTGCGAAGTGGCACGGAGACACAACTACTTCCCCGGCGGCGTGGCTCTCATCTGGGCCACCTACTATGAGAGCTGCATCAGCTCCGATCAGAGCTGCATCAACGAGTGGAACGCCATGCAGGACCTGGAGTCCACGCGGCCCGACTCCCCGGCCCTGTTTGTGGACAAGTAAGTATGGCGCTGCCTTGCCCACGCCGGCCGACCCGGAGTCTGCATGAGGTGACACCTGCCCTGCAGTCCGGCGACCGAGGGCCACCTCTCCCAGGACCAGCGTTCCGAGCGGGGGTCCCTAACCTGCTGCCCATGGGTGGTCTTTGGCTCCGCGATGGTGTGACCACCCTCCCCCCCCCCATTCAAATCAGAGACGGGTTCCAGCGTGAATGCATTTCTGGGGCACAGCTCCCTAACTCCTGTCAGCTTCTCAGAGGAACTTGCGGCCCACGTGCGTCACTGGCTCTTGGGCAGCGCCCTGGGGTCTGGCCTTTCCTCTTCAGGTGGCTCAAGACTCAATTTCCAAAGCCTTTCCCTGTGCTCCTAGGAGTATTCTAGAGCCATTGTCCTGGGATCCTAAAATACAACTGCACCAGCACTGGCCAAGGGCAGCCTGCCTTAGAGGCCACGATCGAGTGGCCTATGTCACGTGGCCTCCAACAGAGCTCAGGTGGCCTGAGGCCACATACACTAAATGAGAAGTCTGGGTCCAGAAGGAAGTGGCCCTTCTGTCTTGGTTAGGACTGTCCTCCCCCTGAGTTGTATGTCCCTCTGGGACTGCATTAAGAGGGCCATGGACAGAGAGGTCAGCCTGAGTGAGGAGAGGACCAGAAACCACATTCCATAAAGCCTCAGATTATGAGAGGTTTGGGGAGAACGTTAGTTGTCTTTGAGTACATAAAGGGGCGTCCTGTGGAAGAATTATCCTGGTCTGTGTAGAACCAGGGCTGATGGGTAGAAGTTACCGGGAAACATGTAGATTCTCCACGTTAGAAGGCCATCACGGGAGCTGGACACAAGGGAAACTGGACTGTCTCTGGACACAGTGCTGTCGTCACGCCCAGATACATTCAAGCAGAGACAAAAGGGTCTGGTTGTTGGGGAGCGGGGTGGCGGGAGAGGGGGGCAGGACGCTACACTGGGGCTTCCAGCATCTGGCCTTGAGAGTGATTCTCTGCAGACCTGAGCGAGGATCTGCTTTCCAGCCGTCGTTTGTGTGCTCCATCTGCTCACCGCTCTGTGGACTCCCACGGGAGTTCTAGACCCAGAGCCGGACTTCTCTGTCCCTTCCCCCCTCCCCCAAAACATGCACAGCGAGACGGTAGTTCTCTGAGTCCAGGCCATGTTCTCGTTAGGCCCAGGAGCATCTGGGGTTCCTGTAAACGCTGACCTCAGGCCCCCTCTCGTTGTGCGTGTTACCGAATGTCCTTCCTTTCCAGGCCAACTGAAGGGGAGAGGACCGAGCGCCTCATCAAAGCCAAGCTCCGGAGCATCATGATGAGCCAGGATCTGGAAAACGTGACCTCAAAAGAAGTAAGAGAGCTCTTCCCTTTGCAGGCCAGAGTTCACGCAGTGTTCGTTTGTCCTGTTGCCCGAACCACAGCGGAGGCGGGTCCGGCACCTGCTCACTGGCTCTCAGAGGCTTTTCCCACGGAGCTTAGCGGAAAGAGCGCAGGCCTTCAAGTCCCATTCTAGTTCGAGTCCAGCCACGCTGCGTACCAATTTCCTGGCCTCTCTGAACCTATAAGACCTTTGATGGTAATTCCATGAGACCCATAGGTTGCACTGAGAAAACATTTCCCTCTTAAGGCCTTCTCCTCTGCCTTGTGTTTTATTGAGATACAGCAGACTCTTGTTTCTTATCTCAGGATTACCAGTTACCAGCGACTTACGAACCCTGGACTGCCTCCCATCTGCCTTTGAATGTTTTCTTGGATCACTTTTTTCTTTTTCTCGGGTTGCTTTTTGTTCAAGGAATGCGATGAATTATAATAGTAGGTTAGGGGCACCTGGGTGGCTCAGTCAGTTAAGCGTCTGGCTTCAGCTCAGGTCATGATCTCCCAGTTCATGAGTTCGAGCCCCACATCGGGCTCTGCACTGACAGTGCAGAGCCTGCTTCGGATCTTCTGTTCCTCTCTTTGCCCCTCCCTCGCTCTCTCCCTCAAAAATAAACATTAAAAAAATAATAATAGGGGCGCCTGGGTGGCTCAGTCGGTTAAGCGTCTGACTTCAGCTCAGGTCACGATCTCACGATCTCGCGGTCCGTGAGTTCGAGCCCCGCGTCGGGCTCTGGGCTGATGGCTCAGAGCCTGGAGCCTGCTTCCCATTCTGTGTCTCCCTCTGTCTCTGCTCCTCCCCGTTCATGCTCTGTCTCTCTCTCTGTCTCAAAAATAAATAAATGTTAAAAAAAAATTAAAAAAATAATAATAATAATAGCTTAAACCAGGCAGATGGAAAGGGTTGAAGTGGCCATTTTAAAAAGGCACGCATCATCGTTTTATTAGTTAAGACTCATAAAAAGTCACATTGTGATGCCTTCCGGAGCAAGATGAAACTGACTTTATGGGTTGACTGTGATATAGTTGATACTTAATTGTAAAAATGTGCCTTAAACTCAAAAAGAAGAGATCCCAGGGGAATCTGCTTCTTCGTATAAAATAATCAACTCTTCCCAGTCAGACTGACTTTGAGGCTGAGTAGCCTGCGTTCCCACCACCTGCCCGTGTGTGTGTGTGTGTGTGTGTGTGTGTGTGTGTGTGTGTGTGTGTCTGCGTGTGTGTGTGCACTTACTCTGGGATCAAAACAGAACAACTCACCAACAACCAAAGATCATTTCTGAAAACAAGCACAGTGTAAGTTGTGACTTTGCTGCTTTGGAGGTGGACAGCTGTGGTTTTGTTTTATTTTGTTTTATAACAACACACTTTCCTACTCTTTTCCACTCCACAGATCCGTAATGAATTAGAGACGCAGATGAACTGTAACTTGAAAGAATTCAAGGAATTCATAGACAACGAGATGCTCCTTATCTTGGGACAGATGGACAAACCCTCCCTCATCTTCGACCATCTTTATCTCGTAAGAGGCACAGCACCCGGCAGGGTCTGGTTGGGGGGACATAAATCAACGGGACCTTGATTGTTTGGAGTTTGCAGCACGGTCAGAGAAGGGGAGCAAACTTGAGTTACTGGCACCTCGGTCCTGACTCTTCTGGAAACTCCTGTCTCAGACCCCGTCACTCTGGCCTCCACGAGCTCGCACTCGAGCCAGATGCCCGAGGGGTGGTTCCCAGCTGAGCCATGGGGAGTTGTTTGAAGGCTCTCTGGCATAGTCCACTGACAGCAGTTTTCAGACTCTCTCCATCCTTGGTCTTCGGTCACTAACACAGAGGCCCCACCCAGTTCCCTCCAAACGGTGTGCGGGCTCAGAACCCCCAGTTACTAGAGGGAGCACGCTCGCCAAACCCCAGGATTATGCCTCGGCATCCCGAGATGTGAGAAACAGGAGGGAAAACAGACCAAACACCCAAAACCCAGCTTCCCCTCTCTGTCCGGAAGCCTGCTCCGTGCACCGCTCCCAGGCCCACCGAAGGAATTGGCGCGGGCGGGGTGGAATCTCCCTACCTCCGTCTCTTGCTCAGATTTTCTTAATGCCGTAAATCTCCATAGAAGGCAACTGGCGAGTTCCCAGAGCCTCTCAGAGAGACTATAGAGGAAGGCATGTTGCTAAAATTAGAGAAGCAATGCAGTGTGATGAAAATCAGACCCACCAGGGCCAAGTTCCCACTCCCCAGCCTGAGTGGCTGTGTGACCGGGACCGAGTCTCTCTGGCTTCTCTCCTTCATTCTGTACCATGTGGGATCATTATGAGGATGAAGTAAAAGACGCATATAAAGCACCGAGTGCGGTTTCTGTAGGCACTAAGAAATGGCACCCGTTGTCAGAGCAGAAGTCACTTCCTGGGAAAGTGGAGGTAGTTCATTGACTGCTGAAGGCATGACCGATTTTGCTTTCTGCCCACAAGTTCTTAATAGTTCCCCAGACGCATGTGTCGTGATATATACTTAATATGTTAAATACGGATGTGTTTAGTGAATTCGTTTGTATCTGTCGCTACATATGTATACGTTTAACGTTCGTATTAAAACGTATGTGAATGTGTGGATTTGAAGCCTGTATCTTGAAAGCTGTCAGGCAGCGCTGGGCTCTAATCTTCTCCCTGGGAAGCTGGTAGTTCTTCCTGGTGGAAAACAACAGAAGGCAGGCTGTCCCTCCACTAGGTGGTGATCACAACAAGAGGGTGCTCACACATTTAGTGGAGCTCTCTTTATTTTTTCGGTGCGGTTTGATGCTTTATGTCACTTTTTCCATGAGAGATACTAAAGGAATTTTTATATTCGAGCCTCTCCCTGCAGCACAGAAATCCAGCTAGCACCCACATGATGCCAGCTTCACTGGTCCCCCTGCAGCCCCTGCGTCCTGAGGGGCCTGCCTTCCTGGGAAAAGAAGCTTCTAGGGAGACTTGGGAGGGGGGAGTGTCTTTTGCTATCTTGACTCCACGTTGTTTGCATTTCCTAAGAACGAAGTGATAGTTTTTTCTTTTGCTTTTCTTCCCCTTCTATGTTCCTCATACTCTCCGAAACGGAGGGTTCGTGTTTTAGTCTGCTCTACAAGGTATTAAATCAAAACATGTTATGGAAGGTAAGGAAATAAGAGAAACTCTAAAGAAGAAAATGAAAAGCATTCCCAATTTTACAAACCTGGATGTAGTCACTATGAACGTTCCGGTATATTTATTTTCCCATTTGTGTTTTTTTGTTTTTTTTTTTTCTTTTCATGTCTATATAACTTCTTAAAAGAGAGAAAAGGAAAGAATCATACTATTTATATAGTTCCGTATCCTGTTTCTTGTTTTAAATTGTTGTCGTTCTGTGGCGTTTCCCTGTGTCACTGACTAACCACCATAAACTCTGATTTTTTTCAAGTGCCCTATCATATGGGCTCATCATCGTTTATTTTACTGATTTCTTCTTGTCAGACCTCTGAGTTGTTTTCCAGCGTTTGTCATTATAAATAACCATAACTATCCTTGTACGTAAATCTCTGTGCAGATTCTGGGTGTTTCTGCAGGATAGTTTTTTATATGTGGAACTATGGGACCTTTTAAAAATACTTCCCAGGAAAGGTAGACCTACTCCTGCTTTCTTTTTTTTGTCGTTATTATTTTTTTAACGTTTCTTTATTTTTGAGAGAGAGGGAGAACGAGAGCGAGCAGGGGAAGGGCAGAGAGAGAGGGAGACACAGAATCCGAAGCGGGCTCTGCGTTGGCAGCCCAGAGCCCGATGTGGGGCTCGAACTCACGAGCCGTGAGGTCATGACCTGAGCTGAAGCCGGGCGCTTAACCAGCTGAGCCACCCAGGCGCCCCAAACGACTCTTGCTTTCAATTAGCAGTGTGGGCAAGTGCCCTCTCCTGAGTGGGAGGTCGGAGGTCACTGCCTCTGGTGACAGGACCCTGCTGGGGACTTAGGAAAGGAAGTGGCAAGAGGGGGTGCAGGTGTTTCTGAACTTGCTCTTTCCCGAAGGCCAGAGGGCGTCACGCTCAGGCTGATGACGCTGTGACTGCCTCGGGAAGCTGCTTCAATACAGGCCTGTTTCGGTTCTATCCGTTGTCAAAGGCCAAGGGCCCGCGCAAGGACCATCCCCGTCAGGGCTAGCCCACACCGTGCATCCCATAAGCAGCTCTGAGGCTGACATGTGACACTCACGGGGGTTTGTGTGATCTGTCCCCCAGGGCTCTGAATGGAATGCGTCCAATCTGGAGGAGCTGCAGGGCTCAGGGTGAGTCTGCTCCCCTCGTCTTCCCTTGTCCTTCCAGGCAGCCTAGAAACCCTCAAGGTCGAGCCCTTGTAACTGCAGGCACCCGTCTCCGAGCCACCTGCCATGGCTGGGCAGCTTTGCACGGCTAAATGGATGTGCTTCTGAATGCCACCTCCTGAATAATTCACGGGTTTTAGACTTTAACGGGGTTCCGTGTGATTGTGTGTGTCAGCAAGAGCGGTTCGCAGTCACACTCCAGTGGCATAGGACGGCGTGGGTGCTGACAAGGCCACGAGCCCCTCACGTGCACCACTGCCCGCACGCCTGCTGGCGGTCCTGGTGGGGACCGCGCAGCAACCCTGATCCCAGGACCACTCCTGCTTCTACCGGACGTTCCACTCTGGGTCCTGGTGGGAATCTTGTGGCTAAAATGCTCAGAGTTGGCCAGAAACATACGCCTGTCTCAGTCTGAGAAATGCCCAACAGTAGGAATTTAAAAAAAAAAAATGTTTAAATCTAGATCTTCAAGAACAGATGTCTGGACATTTTTTTTTAAACAACACAGCCACAAAATCACCATTCTGTGGGTCTGACATGATGGCATTCTTGAATTACTGCATTTAAAAATCAAGACTAAACAAATCTTAAAATATATCTTTAGAACTACTGGTTAAGATGTGTTCTTGCGACAAAAAAATATTCTTCAAATGTACAGCAATACTATCTATGCCTTCTCTTGCTGGGAACACGTAAATTATTTTTAAAGGTATTTTCTTACAGCATTTATAAGTATTCTCTTACAAAACCTATTGGAGGTATTTTCTAACTCCTGAAATTATTTTGGTCTTCCGGGAATAGAAGTATCACATTTAAAGAACTACAGAACCAGCATTTGAGGACCTTCTCAACAATTTATTTGTTTCTAGTCTGCCTTGTTTCAAGAAGGATTTAAGGCAGTTCTTAGGTACATGAATAATGGATGGATAGAGTCTATTTTTTTTTTAGCTCTTTAAAAGTGGAGACTTTGTTTTTTTTTAAAGCCTCAGTATATTCATAACAGTTAATGAATTTTGAAACTTCAAGAGCGTTTGAAAATGTATTTAAGTAATACACATGTCTGCTTTCCAGAATTCATATTGCTTAGCAATGCTTTGAACTTTCTTTTTCCTGAGTTTTTTTATAAAGGAATATGGTTTTTTTTATTTTAAATATAATATGTTCTCATCACACAGAGGGCATTTAGAAAGCACACCAATGTGTGTTAATGACTATTAAGGAGAAACAAAAACCCCACCGTAAACACATATCCTTTATGCGCATGTATTTAATTTTTTCTTTGCTCAGTATTTCTGTTACTTCGTTCTTTGTAGTTCCTCATTCTGATTCTCCAAATTTGTCCTTTATTTTTTTCTCATTACAGTGTTGACTACATTTTAAATGTCACTAGAGAAATAGATAATTTTTTCCCTGGCTTATTTGCATATCATAACATCCGAGTCTACGACGAGGAAACAACAGACCTTCTTGCCCACTGGAACGAGGCGTACCATTTTATAAACAAAGCAAAGTAAGTGGGTGGAGAAGCGAAAGAAGCTGGTCTGAGGCGGAAACTGGCAGACGCTGGGTGGGCACAAATTAATGGCAATCCCAGACACCGCCGTCTCCCGGTTTGTGGAGCCTTTGATGTCTGGTGGACCTCTGGTTTTAAACCACAGGACCCATAGCACCAAAGGGACACGGTCACTGATCTCAAGGTGGGGGCCCCAGTGAGCCTTCGTTTCCCCCATCCTTGACTGTGACATGGGACCCCACTTTTGTCGTTGGTGTCAAAAGTGGTATCAGAAAAGGATCTGACACCAAGTGGACATTCTTGGGAGCTCTGCCTTTGGGGAGTCGCTCAGCCAAAGGAGGAGGGGGGTGGGCCAGGTCATATGTGGACTCTGGGCACTTTTGGGGCCGCGTCTGCCAAGAAAGCCGCTCAGGCAGGTGCCCCAAGGTATGGCCCAGCTTGTGCACCTGTGTTCATGCAACTTTCCTATTCATTCATGGAAAGGAGCAGACCATCAGAGGTCCCGTTGCCCCATGCCTGTCACTGGTGTCCCCCATCTTTAGTCCTCCCCTTATTCTCCTATGGAACTACTCTGCCTCACTGAGAGAAAACCCTCTGTGATGCTATCGAGAGAAACCCCATCTTCTGCTTTGCACCCCATCAGGGGCAACGCTATGCAATACGTCCTTACCAAATCTCAGTTTGTTTGCATTTTTTGGTGGGGGTTAGATTTCAGACCAGCAGTGAAACAAAAAAACAAAACAAAACAAAACAAAATGCACATAACGGGGATGAATTTGAAGCCCGGGGTCTAGGAAGTGAGCGTGGACCCACCTGACCGGCCAGCTGCTTCCAGTGTAAACAGGCAGGCCGGTGGGTCTACGTGCTGTACAAATAAAGCTTCCAGGTGCCACCCTGCCAGCCCCTTCCATTCTCGAGGAGGTGAGGTGTCGAGAAACCCCATCCTCGGCTTTGCCGTATCCGTGCAATCAGCCCCGACCGGGCCAGTACGGCCTCCCTGCAAACCACCAGTCCGCCTGGGTTCTTCCCCCCGTCTGAGTCCAGGGTGCTGCTGCCCTCGCTCTGGCTCCTGGACCCTCCCGTCTGATGCACATCTTGCTCTCCTGAGGGCCTTGCAGCCTTCAGTTCGCTGACCCCGTTTGTCTGCAGTCACCCGCTCCCTGTCTCCATCTGCTGTCACAGCTGTGTGGCTTTTGCAGATGTCCCTTCAGCTGCCCCTTGGCTTCCTGCAAAAGAGCCTCTGATCTCCTGGCCCATCCCAGCGGTCCGACTTCGTCCCTGAAGGCGGCCGGGTTTGGGAGCTCTCCCTGCACAGCTTGGCAAGACAGGGACAGATTTATCTCGATTTCCCATTGTGTGCTAATTGATTTTGCAGCGAAGCTATTTCCTTTAGAGGGTGTGTGGCCATCTGCTGCACAAATATCAGGACATAAGGGGGGGTCTGGGCACGGAGATAACTTCAGGGTTTATAAAACTCCACTGGGTAACACCTGAGAGAAGGAAATTGTTGACATTTCTGGACTCTCTCCTCCACCCACCCCCACCCCCCCGC